TGAATGGATGTTGCAAGTTGTTGGAGCTGCACCAGGATCTCATGCAAAGCACAACTACTTTGAGGTTTGGAGAAATTCACAGGAATACCAAGATGTGCAAAAGGAAATCGCCACCATGGAAACTGAGTTGTCGAAATTGCCAAGAGATGAAGACCCTGAAGCTAAATACACATATGCAGCTCCGATTTGGAAACAATACTTAATTGTCACTTGGAGAACTATCGTACAAGATTGGAGAACTCCAGGTTACATATACGCAAAGGCGTTTTTGGTTATCTCATCGGCTCTTTTCAACGGGTTTTCGTTCTTCAAGGCGGACAGGACGCAACAAGGTTTGCAAAATCAAATGTTTTCCATTTTCATGTTTTTTGTTCCATTCAACACCATGGTGCAACAGTTGCTTCCCCAATTTGTAAAACAAAGAGATGTTTATGAGGTTCGTGAATCACCTTCAAGGACATTCAGTTGGTTTTCTTTCATATCGGCCCAACTCACAGCCGAGATGCCGTATCAAATTGCGGTTNGTTATATGCAAACGCCGAACCTACTGACGCTGTTAATCAACGAGGTGTGCTTATGTGGCTTTTCATCAACTGTTTCTACGTCTACACGAGTACCATGGCCTTATTATGTATTTCATTTATGGAACTTGCTGACAATGCTGCAAATCTTGCAACACTTTTATTTACAATGTGTTTGAATTTCTGTGGTGTGCTCAAAACTGGTGATGAGTTGCCTGGTTTCTGGGTCTTCATGTACCGTTGCAACCCTTTTACTTATTTGGTTCAAGGAATGTTGGCTACAGGGTTGGCAAACACTTCAGCTGAATGTTCGAGTACGGAGTTGCTGACAGTTGAGCCACCCAGTGGACAATCCTGCTCATCATACTTGAAGTCATATGTTGAAACAGCTGGTGGCTACATTGTTGACACAGATGGGTGTCAATATTGCTCAATTAAGGATACCAATACCTACTTGGCATCAGTCAATGCTAGGTACAGTGAACGATGGAGAAACTTTGGAATTGTAATCTGTTTCATTGCCGTTAACATTATATTTACAGCTGCATTGTACTGGCTTGCTAGAGTCCCCAAGGGAAACAGAGAAAAGGATAGTAAGAATAAAGAAAAGAAGTAAAGAAGGGGTATTAGATTTTTATAGATAAAGTATTTTCGTTGACTAATAATATTTAATTTTTTTATTTTCGGTAAATGCGTTGTATATTCATCAAATACAGTTCACAAACTTTGAATCAATTAGGACAGGAAAGGTAGAATTTTAATATTTTATGATGTGATATAGAAAACAGAACTGCATGGATGCTGATTCAGCGTTTAGATTTATTTCGTAAGCTTTATCATTCGTATCTTCGGATTAATTTTTCAACCTACCGTTAGTGACACAAAACCCAAATTACTAATGTCGTTCTTTTTGGAATCTCAAGAGACTAAATAATACACCAGCAGTTCAGCTAGGTCTGTTTTGATGCTGATGCTTTGTGTGATGACAAGATTTGGTGGATTTTATCAGCGATTGAACGGAATTGGTATTAACTCCTTGTATAATAGCCATAGTTTCTTTCTTCTATAAAAAGAAATACTGGTTTTAGTTCTAGAAGTTTTTTTATTTTTCTTTTTTTTTTTTTTTAGTTTTGTTGAGAATATTTTAGTATTATTATTATCCGTAAAAGAAACAAAACTAAATAAAACAAAACTAAATAAAACAAAACAAAACAAAAATTAAACTTACTTTATTTCGTAATGGGGAAGAAGGGGGGTTGAAGGTTTTGTGTGTTTATATGTCATTTAATTTTATAAACCAAGTTTATTCCCCGTGTTCTTTGCAAAAGAAGAAATACTGTTATATTAGGAACCAAAATCATATCCTTATTGACTGTAAACGTCTTCCTAGAAGTGAATACTTTCTATTTTTCAAGATATACAAGGGAGAGGGGCGTTTGACTCTTTTCATTTTCTTCAAGTTTCCACGGTAGGTATTTATGAAAATAGAGAGGGTATCGGATATGTCACGCAAAGTGTACAGCGCCTACTTTCTCCTTTTGATTTCCTTGTCCTCTAATGAAATCCAAAAATAATGATTTCGTTGTGCCAATATTATCCCTTGTCATTCTTCTCAACACAAACTTCTCTTGGCCACTGCAGATACTTTGATTGCTGTTATTGTTCTAGTTTCGCTTCTAATGTTTGGAAAAAAACTGTTTTGTGTTAATTAACATATCTCCGGGTGCATGTTTGGTTAAAGAAAGAAAGGAACAATAGGCAAAATTGTTTTTACTATTTGATGAGTAGCACTGTACTATAAAAACAAATAGATGCCCTCCCTAACTTTATCCAGCTGAGACCTTTACATCGTAGCTATCAACTTCACCAAAATTTTCAACAAATAATGTCCAATAAAGGGGAATATAACGAGGACTCTTTCCACAAGTTGGAAAAGCAACAAACCTCTTCATCCTCATTTGAAGGGCATTCCGTTCACGAGTACACTGGATTTGGAGCACACGATGTTCACCAGTTGGCAAAGACATTAACAAATGAAGATAATAGTTCAGCCGCAAGTTTAAAGCGATATCTCACGCATATGTCGCAAGTGCCTGGTGTGAACCCAGTAGAAGAAGAGGAAGGGGATGAAAGACTAGATCCAAATTCAGACAGCTTTGATTCCAAGTTTTGGGTCAAAAACATGAAAAAATTGTTTGAAAAGCACCCGGACTATTACAAACCTTCGAAATTGGGTGTCGCTTATCGAGACTTGAGAGCTTATGGTACAGCA